GAAAGCACATCACATGGTTTATATTACATATATGAGAATTAAAAAATCCCTATCAACAAGTTGATTCACATAAATCAATCACGCCGGTACAATAGCTTGTGATAATAAATGATGAATATATATATATTCTAAATGTATTACATTTGACAGACACGTAATATATTTGACAATGCTTTCACATCTCCAGCCCTGTTGATACGGTATTTGAGACAGTTTGCATTTTACCAGTTTAGGTATTTTGAAGAAACATATCACAGTCGTCATGCAAATTAGTGGAGTTAATCATTTCTTTTCGTATTTTATATACCTGATCGATCCTTTATCTTGATCTTATCGATCCTTTATCTGGACCTTATCGATCCTTTATCTGGACCTTATCGATCCTTTATCTGGACCTACATAGGTCTTATCCCGACTCCCCGACTCCTTTTGCTTAGGTTTTAGGGTTAATCCCTATCAAATATCAGCGCGTATGCCGCAAAACCTCCCCTCCTTCACACGGGCCCCCTGGGGTCTTAAACTCGACCCCCACCTGCAGGTCTGTTCAACATGGTTGTAATGACTCCCTTCTGTAGCACTTTCTATAGTCGTGTGGCGAGATACCTAGCCCACAGCAGGGAGCTCGTTGATTAACCGCCCATGCTGTTGCAAGGCACTGTTACCTGGGAAGTAACCGGTAGCTTTGTGCGCTGCAGTGATTCGGGAGATACTCGACTTGTAAACAGTTCTTGGGTACCTGGTATATGCTAATGGTCGGCCATGTGGCTTTTGATAGTGAAACGATACTGATCAAACGAATGCAAAATCACATATTTCTTTTTCTAGCTATGGGTTTAAATATATTTTTCCTAGTTTTACATATTTTATAAAGAGTACACCCCCTTCAGGAATAAACATATAATATGAACCAGAGCGGATGTAAATTATACTAAGAAAATTTGAAAATACATTTTACCAAAATAAACAAACCCAAAACAGAAAAATCCCCAACTCGAGTTTTCTTCTTGTGTATGTATATATTGTTGATTGGTCGTGTGTGACTCCTGAAAAAATGACTATCTAAATATGATTTTTACAGCACATATTGATTTGATTTGGTGAATGCAATAATATTGAATTTTTCAGACTTTTTTAAAAGGTGATGTGTACATTCGCAATGTTTTTTGACAGCAAGGTTTTTAAAAACTGCACTTTGGAAACAAAAATTCATAATGAATGTTGCATAGCAACTCCAACAACATGTCATGACCGTGTGATATGTTGACATTAGGGTCTACCTTGTGACAAATCATCTTGGCAAAACTCTCAAAATATATCGTAATTACGCTATCTGTTCTAAATAAAACAATATTTCTCAAAGAAGATAATTAGGTGGTTATTGCTAATCCAATTACGACCGAAGATTCACCGAAGTAATCCCTACTCTGTGTGTGTGTCTTGTTGACAAACACACGTCAACGAGGGGTCAACGACAAGGCTTGGCTTGATTGGCAAAGAAAAGATATAGACAAGATTTTGTAAGTGAAAACATCCAGGTTCCTGATCGTGAGTAGTTTTCAGTGGTGGTTGTGAAATTAGCCAAATTAGCATTTTCACCCCAATCTGTAATTTACAACCTATTGTCAGAAACAAACAAACCCAGATACATTGCGCGACGGAGTGGCGCGGGGCTTTGAAGTTTGCTCCAGAAACAATGTCGATTGCAAGGAAAACACACAATGGAATCGACTGAAGTGAAAATTAGTCAATCAGTTTCCCTCACTGTCAAAACAAGTCTATCAAACGGGCGATAAATGTGATAGACTGATTGTGCAAGTTGACCGAGACAGTATGTTAATTTCAAGTGAGAAGGCGCCAGTTTAAATCCAGTGTTATTGGTGTAATTCATCCGCTTCGAAAGGAAATGCGCACTCGTGTAAATTGCTCAGATACAGTCCGCTTACTGATTAAACACGAAACTCAAAACAGTTAAAAACGACAGTTCACTATACGCCCCAAAAACACAAATTTACATTTACTGGTATTCAAACATTGCGTCTAATTAAACTGATATCTTTTTCATTTTCTTTAAAATATTTAATACAATTTTATTAATGACTAAAATTCATATAGGCCAAAAAGTTTAAGAAATAATGGTGTGCAAGACATGGAATAGAATAGGCTTATGAAGCAATCTAAAATGTTTTGAATAATTTACTAAAGAAGTTGTTATCCACAGAACATTTTCACTCTCTCCCATCCTCTAAATACATATCAAAGACTTATACGTGCGCGTTTTACATGTACTTCAAGGCGATGTTGCAGTATTGTTTGGAATTTCTTGTTGCAACAGGACTTAAATGCTTTCTGTATTTTTACTTTAATTATTTTATAGGAAGGATTTCTAAACTTACTTCATTTTCGTTATTTTTGTTTTTGAAAAAAATTGGATCTGCCAACAGGCGATCTTAGACTGCAAAATCAGTGTATTTGATGAGCAAGATAGAAAAATTCGTTTTCAAAACGACATTTAAGGCACAAATATACCTATCTTTTGTAAAACATTTTATGTAACAAATATTATTCATGCTGTTTTGAATGACAGATTAAAATATTTTAATTTGATAAAATTTCCGAAAGTATTGATTCTTCTCCAGAACTGCTAATCTTGTCCCGGATGAATTCAGAGCCATTATGATGGAACTGTTGTATATTTCTTTACTTAGAGATACCGAGAGTACATGTATTGTCAATGTTACAGTGTCATGAATTGCAAATGTTTAATTTTATCCGTGATGTCACTGTGTATGTGAAACAGTGAATTGTCAATGGCTTTGCACGTTGATCGGATGTGCCGTTGATTGACAGTAGGGGGAAATGACATGTTTACGACAATGGATGAAATCCCTTACAGTCAATGCAGGACTTGAGGCAATGACTCATTACGCTATTGTCTAGCGCGATTAATGAAAGTCTAGTGTCATTAGTGACAACGGCTGTTCCCTAAATGTGTGCTATCCCAAATTCATTACTAAATGAGCGGATTTTGATTAACTTTATCACATAATTTTACCAATAATCTGAACTAGATTACACGACATCTCGGGAGAAATAGGTACCAAATCACTGAACTACGCCAAATGCCAATCATGATGGTGTTGGCACATTTTATTAATACGCACTTAGTATAAACTTTTAGGTACATTTGTTAAATGCACACTGGCGTTTCAAGTCTTAACCTACGAACATTAAAAAACACAAATATCTAACTGCACATAATCACATTGATGAAATGTTTTGAAAATGCGACAATAAACCTGTCTTAAAAAAAGAAAAATGAAACTATTGCGATACCTTTTACTCAGGTTCATCCAATGATTGAAGGAACTGAAAAAACAAACACTTTCGTTTTGTTGTAGGTGTTGATAGATAATTTATTCAACACAACACCCCTTTCATGCACCTTTCAGTCTTTTATTCTCATCGATAGGTCATTATTCGAGGCTTTGGGGTCTAAATCCGCAACTTTCTCGCTCCTAACGGGCGGCCAGTGTGTATAACTGACATTATCCAGCCAGCTATTAAGGGCTTAGGTTGTGTAGGGACCTCGGTGGCGACATAGGTATAAAAACAAATAGGGGGGGAGAATAGCTTGTTTCTTACTTGAACGGGCATTGAACAAATTGCTCATTCGCCCAGCTCAGACCGGCGCCAGAAAGATTGTGAGCAAGCACCCGTCTATTCATGGTTTTGAAACTTATAAAGAAAAGTCACACCTACGGTGTTTTAGCCATAAAGTACTAATTACGCGAATGTTGAAATGATCAACAGCGATTAGGGTCGTGACAAAAGAAAATCCTTGCCGAACCGTGACACAGCCGCTAATTACTTATCTCGTTTGTTTGTCTCAATATATGTGTGAGACGAAATCGCTCAGCAATCCAGTTTATTGAACTCACAAACTGACGCCACAGTGGCTGAACCCTTTCGCAACATGTCTGATGGCTGAAATCACACAGACTAAGAGAGAGTAGAACTTACACCCGAAACACCACAACCAAAACGCCACAAAACGAAAAAGTTTAACCCCAAACATATACTATTGTGTAAAAATCAAAATCAATCTAATCACTATTTCCTATTTGTGACAATAAATCTGTTGATATTGACGTGAAAAATAATATCTCGATATTTAGTCATTTCTGATTCAAAAGGAGCCGCTCGTGGACTGTAGGCTCTCTACTATGTTGATTAATATACACATGAGGGGCCCGGCGCTATCTGATTATTTATGAGTAGCGATATTTCACAGACTGGCGCCGGGCTACTCACAAATGCACGCGACATGGTAGGAGGCTTGTATGAAGCGCTCTATATACAGTAGAAATCGTAATATTCCGGGGTTTTCTCGTTCCCTGGTTTGGTCTTTCCTGCATTAAAGTCTTAATAAAACCCGCGACTGTCTAAATGTCGTAAGATATCTCAACCTGCTCCGTTTCGACGGGATTAAACCCAAATGTAAACAGTGCTACGCTTGTTTTCAGAGTCGATAGCTGCACATAAAAATGTCAATCAAATTGTGAGGGGTTGGGCTTGATAGTCTTCAAACAGCTCCAGATAAAACATGCTCGGAAAAAAATCCATACGTTTGTGAGTGAATGCTTTGTTTAAAAATGTCTCGCCAAAATCTTTCTCTATCTATCGGGACTTCGAGTACTGGGGCCGATAAGCCATATTGTCGATGGGTTAATTAATACATTACTGCGAGACGCTCTGAAGGAGTGTCAAACCCAAGTGTTGACATACTGTCAGGCTTGATAAAGAACTCAGGGATTGCAGACAGACAGTCTAGCCTGTCGATCACGCCCGGAATAAACCACGCCCCCTCGCGCTCTCATTGGTCAGGCGCAACGCCTAAGCCAATCAATGTGTGATGAGATTAGCGTGTGGAGAGCTGTTCATACGATGGCGACAGTAATGAACCCGTGTGGCGTCGGCTTTGACAGGCTGGATATATAGCGGCTGGACTCCAGCGTTCAGCAATCAGTTGCTCTCTCGCTTTCAAGCGCAGCACAGCACATGTTGGTTCAAACACAACCGGATAATACCAACATGGCTTACAATCCTTTCCTTATGCATCGACCTGTGGAGTATGGTGTCAGCTCAATGCTCCACCAGCCACAGTATCTCTCCCCCCACATGACTCTGCCCCACCCTGGCCTCGCGGCCTCTATGCTGGGCAAGCAGTTCGGACGGTCGGGGATAAGTCCAGCAGACCTGCTCGCTCATCATGATCCGTACAGATCATTGAGAGGAGTCGAGCCCGTCCAGGACGTTGACGTGCAGGATGATCCGAACGTCGAGTTGGAGGCTATGGATCTCTGGACCCAGTTTAACAAACACGGAACGGAAATGGTTATCACAAAATCTGGAAGGTAGGTGTCCCGTATGTTGTGACTGAACGTGTTTACGAAATGTGACGGCGAAATATACATACGCTGCATGTCAATGTGAATCACTGTTTCTACTGGGTGTGTGTGGTGGAAATACTATCATTGGCACCTAAATTCTATTTACTTGACTTGATAATTCTCACAAATAATGCCTGGATATTATACACATAATGTATTGATAATTTTATTATGGGAACATTTGTCTTTTGAATTGAATTAAATGTTTACATTTGTCTTTGCAAGTGAACCAAATCTTCACGAAGTGTTTTTAGATTCAGATGTAACAATACATTTATACAGATAGTGTTAAAGATTGTTTTGCAGAACATGAATTATATTTTTTATAATTAGCCTTCATATACATAGATGAGATATCAATGGACTTTTTATATTTTACCATTTCCCATAATTACTGAGAATACAATGTAAACAACATTTCTAGTTTTGCAAAAAGCACGACAAACATTATGTCTGCAAGTCGTATAAGTGTAAACTTTTAAATCATAATCATTGTGGGTGGTAGTCCTTGAGACGAAGTCGAAACGAATCGTCAAATAAATCTTTCTCTCCGAGTATTCCTCTATGCCGAAAAAAGCCACATTATTGAGACAGCTTACCAATAAAGTGGCGAGTCCCATAAAGCGTGGCGCCTGGCGAAAATATATCTCGCTAAATCTAGCGTAGTTTCGATGTAACATCGCCGTGTTTTCAACCAAAGGAGCTGCGAATTCACAGCAGGGTCTAGTATATCAACACCATCTTTTTCATTGAAGCAAGCGTAGGTCCAAGCAGCGGGCCGAAATCGCCGTTCAGTTTATGTTGTGAAACGAGCAATGTAAGTTCGCGACATGAACGCGTCACAAAGTCGGGAAGTTGTGATAAAGAATGGATCTTGTCGGGACGCTAACTGCTCTATCTGGTTTGGGCGATTAGGGAGAATATTAAAGGTCCTTTCTCGATACAAACCGCTTATCAAGCTCATCAGCGAAACATTGAAATTTATCAGACCCAAAGCGCCAGCCAAATGGAGGGTGTACCTATAATGTTTCACGTCCCATGCGACCGGTGTGGCTACTATCTTTGTAATTTTGTAGCCAACTAATTGTCCTTGTCATCTAAACGAATCTGTTAACAGGAGACTCTTGTCGTTTTGTTAGGACTAGATTATTGATATCGCTTCTAACGAGATATTATTCTGTCGTGAGGAGAAACCGTAGATGTAAGACGTAGCTTTGGGATTTTGATAAGAACCCATGGCGATAAATATAGTAAAATCGAAAGAGAAATACTTCGAAATTCACCCTCAATGCGAATGTTATTTATTATAAACATTACTTCTTTGTTTTTAATTTAAACATTTTTTTTTTCTAATTTCAGGCGCTTGTTTCCTGGATTTCGCGTGAAATTGACTGGTTTGGACAAAAAGTCCAAATACATACTGCTGATGGATGTCGTTCCCGTCGACGACTGCCGTTACAAGTTCCACAACGGTAAATGGACAGTGGCCGGTAAAGCTGACCCCGAGATGCCCAAGAGGATGTACATCCACCCCGACTCCCCCAGCACCGGGGAACAATGGATGCAGAAGACTATATCTTTCCACAAGCTGAAACTCACTAACAACATCTCGGACAAACACGGATTTGTAAGTGAAACTAGTTATGGAATACTTTTTATTTTAATAATGACTGTTCCTAGAAATACAAGTCGCAATAGAAAAAAATCTGATCAACGAAATGCATCGAATGATATTTAATTTTAAGTGCACTTTGTGATCAGACAAAGCTATTTGGAAACTCATTATTGTTTTTCGTCAGTAAAGCATGGCATTACACTTAGGAAACATGATCAAATATCTTCGTTCGGAGTTAGTTAACTTGTTAACAGACCTCTTCTGTGGCTCACGTCAATTATTACTAACAAACTAGCTGTTGGCTTCATAATGACTGAGGCAGGGTTTAGAACAGCGAATCATCGGTCAAGTCACTTAGTACGAGAGTCTAGGAAGATTTCTTTGTGTTCTGCCATGCTTCGTTAAACATGACTTGGCTTGTCAATAAGCCGTAATTATTTGATATTAATTTGTCTTTGTAACTTACATTACATCGTTCGCAGAAAGTGCCATGACAATTAACGCTGCAAAAAATGGTGACGTCATGATTGACACTTTATAAATAGCGGAACTACAGGAGCATTTGTCCAAATGATATTGCAATTATCTAAATTACTAATTTCCTGTAATAACACATCAATTTGTTAATTTCGTATGATAAGTTGTCGATTTCGTATGATAACATGTCGATTTCAGATTGAAAGTTGTCGATTTCATAATAGTTGAAATGTACACCAGACGTACGCTATGATATAGTGTGTGGTAATGATAATATCCCTTAGAGAGTGCATCATTGATTAGACATAAATGTTACATATTAACATAAGGAGAACAACAGTGCAGCAGGTTCAGTGAACGAGTGGTGATATTTGTCGCCATAGAAGATGTTTTGACCCTTTGCTCACTCGTGTGTTAAAATACATGCGATTGTCTATTTCGCCTGTCATAGATTGATATTGTCGGGTTGGAATGAGAGGGCAGTTCGTGCAATGTTCATTAGATGTAGGTATACCTCAACGAACTCGTTGACACGTGCTTGCACTCGAAGACAAAAGGTGTACGTGTTTTGTTACACTCGCTGCATCGGGGAATGTGAACGGGTTGCTAGTCTCATAGTTTTCGACCACAAACCGTGAAAACTTTGACACTATGAACAAAACATTCTGTCATTGCGTATATCCAACGGGCATTTAGCACTGCGATCCTTAATTAATTTTCTCGCCACGCTACAGGGACCAGTCTTCCACAATGTACTTTCACACGGTCGTTTTCAACGGGTTTATTTGTGAATAATTATTGTATACATTGTCACGTTGTCTACACGTGTAGGCAAGGCTTGGAGATGTAGATCACAGATATATATCGCCCTTGCTTTCTGCTGCTGTTGATAGATAACAAGGGTTTGAGCGGAACTTTTTCGCCCTCGTATTCAACCTATATCGCTCATTGTGGCGACGCGTAGACGCGGTCGTAAGCGGTCCTCGTAGCCTTCTTAGAACTAAGAGCATTTTGACGGAAATAACAGCTTGTATCGGGCAATAGATGTTTCCTTAGATGCAGTATATCATCCCCAAGCTTCCTCGAATACCGATATACACCGAGCGCGGAGTGAAATGTACACATAACACTTTGAAATGAACAAGCTGATGTCTCGATAGCTGTCTCTGTTTATAATAGCATTTGTCGTGTGAGATTTCAAAAAGAGCAAAGCCCTTGAGCAAAATACACCAACATACACCGACTTTTTAAAGGAAATATATTCCATATGTGCAACAAAACCACAGTGACATGAAATCGACAATTTGTTTAAATTTGTCACATTGCCATTGTCATAACACTTTGAAATCGACATGATATTGACAACAATCAGTGTCATAATGCCATATGCGACCTATCCCCGTGTTTCCTGTATATATGAGTGCTAACAGACCAGTGTGGACGATCGATAAATGCTATATCTATGCCCTTACTTGACACCTTCCAATGCTCTATAATGGGAAGCGTGCGGATCAACCGAGACACGATGTGGATATTGATTGAACCTCCGCACCGGATTAACATCGCCAGTACTTGTCCAATTGCCTAATCAGATGAATATTTTATTATTTCAGACAATTCTCAACTCGATGCACAAGTACCAGCCTCGTTTCCACCTGGTCCGTGCAAGTGATCTCCTCCGTCTCCCCTACAGCTCCAGCAAGACCTTTGTGTTCCCCGAAACTCAGTTCATTGCAGTCACTGCCTATCAAAATGAAAAGGTAAATAAAAATGTGAAATTATTTATTTAGTTTCTCAAGATAAAGAAACAAATAAAAAATATTTGTAAAAACTTAAATATTTTTGAAATCAAAGACGGATTATCTGACACTGTTTTTTTCAAAACTATTTCTTCTTTCTCCAAACAATCAATTACACTTCATTTTTTAAGAGGTCTTAGTGTGAATTTGTTACTTAAACCTATCCGTATGATTACTTACTAGCATATTTATCCGTGTCAAAACGCTCATATAATATGTAGACCGGACGCCCCCGGGTATTTGAACATGAGAGGAAATATTATAAGATCTGTAAGGTGTTAAGGCTGGCCTCTTTGAAGGGTGAGATTAGATGATAATCAGACTGGCGCCAGTCTACCTCGAGGACTCATATATTCACTACTTGACATTCCAGATCACCAAGCTCAAGATTGACAACAATCCCTTTGCAAAAGGCTTCCGGGAAAATGGCGGCGGTAGCAAGGTCAAACGGTATGTATTGAAATCAACATCCTAAAGTAAACGTAATAATATTTTGGTGTATTGATCTTACAAATCGAGATAATTAAACAATGTAATTTTAAACTATTTAAAGCATGTAATAAATAAATATGTTGAAAAACAGCTTAATTATTGATGCTTTGTTTTTTAGGCCCTTGGATTCCTCAAAGTCCGAGCATGAGACTTCATCACTCGAAGGAAGCCACACCGACGATGATGACGAGATATGCGTTGATGACGCTGACGATCTGTCCCCCAGCAAGAGCGTGTCGGAAGCAGAGGACAGCATCGTGAGTGAGAAGCGGGAAGAGTCTGAGGACGACAGACTTGCTGACACAAGAAAGAGTGAGCAGGACACGTCATGCGACATCGGATCAAGTGACGTCAGCAAGTGCGACGTCAGTGACAGTGAATCTGAAAAAGACAGTGTTGTGAAAGAAAGTCCCCAAAGAGACAAAGACTTGAGGAGACAAAAGAAAATGTCAAAGACCATTCTGTTGCCAGTCTGCTCAAACCCAGCGAGTCCAAACAAACTTACACACCAGTTAAAGACATTAAAAGCCCACCCAATGTTACAGTGTGTCAACGATCCACGAACAATCCATTTTTCCCCGTCCACCCATCCTCTCTTTATCCATCAAACAGTTCAGCATTCCATCATCCACTCAGCTCCATCTTCCTGAACTCTGCCGCGCATGCGCAGTTGAGAAATCCGCTTCTGTCGACGTCGGCGTATGGAGTGCCATCCTCATCATCGTCTCATCCGCTCTTCGCACAGCAGCTTGCCTTGTCCCAGCTTGCGCTTGCGCAGCGATACTCATTCTCTTCCGGTATGGCCGGAAACATGGGTCCCGTATTCTCGTCACACTCGTCCAACTCGAGATTTCAACCCTACAATATGTCGCCCATGACACCACCAAACTTTGGCAGAAGTCCATCAAGTCCAAACTCGAACCATTCATCGTCTCCTAGTCTCTCTCCAGCCGGAAGCACCTCACCCGGCTCCGTCATCAGTCCCGTTCCTATGCGAGATTTCACGAGAGGTCACTCCCTCTCCCCCGATCACCTCTCTGCATGAGATTAACGTTTAAGATGTGTTCTTAGTGCTCAGTGTACTTGTGTGAGTGGTTCACTGTGGAACATTCTCCCTGTGTTTGTTAATCGATGGCGTCAACGGCTCTCAATCCCTTCCTGGATGTCCGATGTCCGAGTCTACACCGATGTTATGTAATGGACGATCAACAACGGCGATGTCGAAACTACTAATAGGTATGCAAGCAAACATTATTTACATTAGCAATAAGCGAGATTATTTATTATTGAAAATGGAACATTAATAATGTTTAACATATTTCATATGAATATTATTTAACAATATTTCTTATTATCCTATTTTTGTTTTTTCAGATGTTTCACCACAGTATTCCTAGTCAAGGGAGATAGGCGTTTCCAATTCCGTGTGTCACGTGGTCTGTCGAACTTCCGAAAATCAAGCGCTGGCGCTAGATGAACTGAAAATTGGTGCTTTAGATTACGGGTGTTCAAAATAAGACCACCAAGTTCTCATTATCCGTCTTTGGTCCAAATTAACGACCTTTGATCCCTTGGAGCCAACAGTCTGAAGACTATGGCGCGAAATAGTGCGTGCAATAGGATATTAAATATGTTGTTATTGTTACAGTAATTTAATTAATGTATATTGATGACGAATGCACAAAGAGTATTTTTTTCTGACTTGACTGAATAAATGTCACAGGATATGTATTACACTGGTTTGTGGTTGATTTGTCTCACTGCTTTGATGTCTGATTAAATGTTGATCTTTGACCCGATGGAAATTATAGTAATTGTTACTGGTAAAGAATGAATGCTTTGCCTGTGGTTCGACGTGGGGCCGTGTTCTTGGGTGCATATTTCAAGCGGGGGACCACTGACGGCTCGCTTCTGATGTTTGGAGAAAGAAATATTACATGAGTGAATAATTCATTTGTAGTATTGTTCTCCAGTCATCGGCTCCTGTTGGAAAACATTCGACTATAATAATTCATGCTGAGATTTCCCCGATAACATTGGCCAGGCATGAAGAATGGGAAACAGTGTTTTGAAGGAATGCTAAATATGTAACGGAATGTGCCTTCAGTTCCCCATTGAACATCGTAGCCGGATGCTGAGCTGATGCTTCTACTGCATGTATTGTTTTTAGAAAACAAACAAACGTTCATAAATACGTAACGAAAATATTACGTCATTAAGCGTCAACATTAATATAGGAATAACATTGTATAATTTGTGTTGCACAGATACATATTGTTATGAATATATAAGATGGAAACTGATAACACACCATGAAATCCTAACGTTCTAACGGGTCATTCGATTACATTGTTACCACCCAGCTGGCTATGTCAGTTGTATAGACCCGGCTAATGTTATATCTAAACATACATCTAAGGAAACATTGTAGGATCATAAGTACACATTTTCTTGATGGGCATTGTAGAAGTTGAAGTGATGAAGAATGATGATAATTTTATGGATATTTCACAGAATAAAGAAGTTGTATATCCATAAAATCATCATCATTCTTCAAGTTCGAGACATGAATTATTGGTCCTAAAAACCAAATCTCCAGTCTGAATCAGGACAGGACCGCATCCACAGTGGAAACACGGTCGACTGCAATAAATACACAACAATATGACTACACAATGCCATTTAGACCGGGATGTATTGACAGATCGAGTAAAGCATCAGTATCGTCCCAATGGGTCCTCAATCATATTATTCTTGGTACCACTCAAACACTCAACTGCAGCTATTATTATCTATTTCGTTTGTTAGAAATGTATTTGTATAAATAAAACATGACCTAGTCAAGATCACTGGTGTTGGAAAGAGTGAATTAAATAAGGCAAATTGTGAAATGTAATCGACAGCCCCGAAACAGAACTGACATTTGAAAGACACTCGCAATTACTGTAATATTACACTCTACTGAGTCTAAATATACATATTTCAGACAACTGCCTCAACAGTTTGACACAGTTATCAATAAATTACAATTTCTTACATTTTCTTGATCAGCGTTATTACGTTTCAGTAATTTTTTAATATCAGTAGATCAACAGTAAACACAAATGAAGGATTAAGTTGTGACTATGACAGTTACATGTTAGTAAGTTTCATTCTATTTTACGACAAATGTCCGAAAATGTAATCTTGCACTTCCGGAAGACCCAAGCGCTGTCTTAGCCCTGGTTATTAATTCGGAAGCCATGCTGTGTGTATCGCCTTTTAACAAACATGCAACATATAGTGTTCATGGAAGCTGAGATAAAGCAAGCATGATTCAGTTATCACTCGCGAGCATCTTTGAGGATCCAACAGTTTATTCTTATGGACCTGATAAATATGTTTGTTGTATTATAACGGTAATTTCCTGTAATGATTTTTTTTGATTATCAGGTGTTTCGTTTTTTCTGTCATTTATTAGATTTTGCTCACACGTTTTGGACTTCTTTCAAGGTTCCCACACGCAATATTTGATCACTATTATTTCTAGAGGCAACAGTATATTGTTTTAATAAAACAATTATTAAAATGTCCCGCATACCACTCAAGTGATATGGCAAAATCGACTTAAAAGGATTTTTAAACATGTGTTTTAAAATATAAAGATGTTGTTTATATACCAGTTTCAAAATAAACGTAAAACATTGTTTTCTATTATTATGATGTGGAAATTGTAATAATATAAATACAAACAGTTATTAGGGTTTTATTAAAACATTTTTAGAATTTTGAAAAGCAGTTTCAACTTTACTCAAAGAGTGAACATTATTTGAAGTATGTATACAAACTGCTGGAATGTTGACAAATTGTATACTCTGTATATATACTCAATGTTATTATCGTTGCCCCTTGAAATAGAATCACGAAATATGGCGATGATTAATTAACAAAGATATATGCCCGTGTGCCAATATTTTGTAAAGTGAAAACAAAGCACTCTGTAGATAAGGAATATTACTTAGAGTGACGAAACTGCATTCGTTAGAAATACACGTCATCATTTAATTGTGACCACGTGGTTACAATTTGGGTAATAATTGGCAGTCATGTGACTACAAAGAGCTGGTTATATTTAGCAGTGAATGTCATCAGCACTTTAACTTGAATATCTATATGGCTTTTATCTTTCAGTTCGTGTTGTTAACGTACGTATACTATGCACACTGCTAAATAAAGCCTAAATATAGTCACCTGACCCCCGAACTAACCCGGATAGTGGTCACGTGATCAAACCTCAATGATGCTGTTTACCGCAAGCGAAATGGATATTTCTTAAAAAGTGCACTGTGCAAACCCTTTTATTACTGTAAGTACGATTTATTATTGGCGGAATGGCTCGTTTACACGTTACAGATATTAGATGCAAAATTATGCATATAAGTCTTAGGATCACTATGTTTACACTTTACAGATATTAGATGCAAAATTATGCATATAAGTCATAGGATCACTATGTTTACACTTTACAGATATTAGAGATATTAGATGCAAAATTATGCATATGAAGTCATAGGATCACTATGTTTACACTTTACAGGTATTAGATGCAAAATTATGCATATGAAGTCATAGGATCACTATGTTTACACTTTACAGGTATTAGATGCAAAATTATGCATATGAAGTCATAGGATCACTATGTTTACACTTTACAGGTATTAGATGCAAAATTATGCATATGAAGTCATAGGATCACTATGTTTACATTTTACAGGTATTAGATGCAAAACTATGCATATGAAGTCATAGGATCACTATGTTTACACTTTACAGGTATTAGATGCAAAATAATGCATAAGAAGTCATAGGATCACTATGTTTACACTTTACAGGTATTAGATGCAAAATTATGCATATGAAGTCATAGGATCACTATGTTTACACTTTACAGGTATTAGATGCAAAATTATGCATATGACGTCATAGGATCACTATGTTTACATTTTACAGGTATTAGATGCAAAATTATGCATATGAAGTCATAGGATCACTATGTTTACACTTTACAGGTATTAGATGCAAAATAATGCATAAGAAGTCATAGGATCACTATGTTTACACTTTACAGGTATTAGATGCAAAATTATGCATATGAAGTCATAGGATCACTATGTTTACACTTTACAGGTATTAGATGCAAAATTATGCATATGACGTCATAGGATCACTATGCTGATATTTTTACTAGATACAGTATTTACTAAACTTTCATAAGCCCCTCTTGGCAAATTTACAATGTAATGAAGTCAAATTCACAAGGCACCAAACTGAACTGAATCTTTGAATTGATCTGAATCTTGCATGAGTACACTATTTTCACGAAGGAACAAACTAATGACCACAATATTCAGCCTACACTGAAACCTTGATAATACGGAAATTCTTATTTATGATATACTAAATCATAACGAAATAAATATTATTTGGAACCGTAAAAGAAAACCAAAATGACATTTCCGTGTGTCTGTGATTCGTTAACTGGATTTCCTTATAATCCGGACGATTACACAGAGTAGGGCTAAAGTGGACACACTGTTTATTAATGTGTTTTCCTCACTGAATGAGCGTTGGTATTATATTTTGAGATAATATCTTTTATTGTTCTTCAGCAGTAAAAATATAATTTGTCTTGTGTATTAGGATAGGCATTGTCGAGGCATTGTCTTTTTGGTCCGGTTCAAATTTATTTAAATTTTATTTTCTAGCTTTTAAGAATGTATTTAAATAACTTTACACTCTTGAACATTATGGAATAAGCTGCGTGCTGTGCCAGCACATTTGAGCACATATTTCTGTAGAGTTGGATTTTTAGGCAATAGAATTAAGAGAGAATAATCAGTTGACACTTACTGCATGTGGAAACAAGGAATGTAATGATATGAAACATAAACAACGTATACAAAAAATGAAACTGTTGAGTCATTGTACCTCATCCACTCTTGGATGGCAACCATACTACGTGTTGGTATGCGTTGTTTGGAAGCAAGATTTTTTTTGTTAATTGCAACTAAAAATAAATATTTATCGAATTGGAAAGAGATCTCAGCGACATTATGGGCAAATAGGTTGACTGTTTTTTGTTGATTTGTACCTTGTTTGAAGGTTCCAGAATATCGCTTATAATTAACGTGTACCTCCCGGGACAAGCATACCGCTTGTGCATGCTACTGCAGGCTACAGTGCCACTAGCTGTTGGCTCGTAGACCCGAAGGCGCTGACTGAAATTGAGCAGTTCCCATAAAAGACGGGGCTCGTTAATGTATACCGGTAAGTTATGTTTCTTGTTAGCAGTACAAGTACAATGAAACCTATAAACAAGAACCCCTTTAAATCAATAACATGTGAATACGGGCTTACCGTCTTACACATTTCACTGAACTCAATACTTCGGAGTGACGAATTAGTTTACAAAGCATTTTCAGCGAGTTATGCATGGTTTTAATGATGTTTGGATTTTTAAAAAGTAGTCACTGAATTGATTTGTAAACATGATATCAATATGATATCATGCATATACTTGTACTATCCCTGTGTACCACAGGTTTATACGTTAGGTTGCTTTATATTAATGATATCATTTAATGTTTTTAAAAACCCAAATAATCGTCGTCCCTGGGTATAAAATAGTTAAAGTCGTATACAATGAAACCTCGTAAATCCGGACCGGAGAGCTTCCGCAAAACCGTCTTGAT